TGGGGATTCGAACCCGCCACCTTAGGTGTACGTGGCTGGCGCCTTAGCCGGTTGAGCTATAGGCACCGAGCCCATATGTTGAACTTCTAACTCCCACAGTGACTATATTTGCAGAGAGGGCTTTTAGGAGGTGATGAGGATTAAAGTCATAAAGGTGAATTCCTAATCTGATAGGATTAGCAACTTTGTAAGAACAGAGAAGGATTTATTTCTCTCTCCAGATACACACAAAGACCAGGCAAGGACACAGCAACAAGGCAGCCACCTTACAAGGCAGGAAGAGGCCAGCACCTGGATGCATCTGTGGCCTTCTAGGTCCTAAAGTGTAGTAGCCTTTTGACAGAATCCAAATTTTACAGAACAAATCCTTTTCATTACTGTACTTTTGCTCATCATTTATATTTTTTAATGAATGTATTTAAAATACCAAAAAATAAAGTAAGTTTCAGTGAAATAACCCTCAAGACTGACCAGCACAATTAGAACCTTAGTCAGCCCAGAAGGACTAAAATGATACTGCTATGCTCAGGTTTTAGTTCTAACTTCCACTGCCTGACTGGCTCAGCCACCAAACCAGGCTTGTTGGTGAGAGTTTATGGGGATGGAATACGCCACTATCTTAGCTATTGACAACAGTACACTGTGTTTCTGTTTGAAGTAGAATTTGTGAATAGCTACACAGCTCTACAGTATTATTTAATTCTATCTGCTTAACAGCCCATGATGTCAAAGAAGACCAAGAGAATACTTAAAGAAGAAAATAGATTTTTTTTTTTTTTTGAGACAGAGTTTTACTTACTAGGTCACCCTTGGTAGAGTGCCGTGGCATCTTAGCTCACAGCAACCTCAAACTCTTGGGTTTTCAAGTGATCCTCTTGCCTCAGCCTCCCAAGTAGCTGGGACTACAGATGCCTGCCACAACCCAGCTAAGAAAACAGATTTTTAATGAGGATTAGGGATTGCGATATTGTCTTGTTTCTGCTAAAGATACCATGATGTGCTTGCTTTGTGATACTGCAATGTCAACATTAAAGAAATTCAGTGCTCACCAGCATTATAACACTCATAAAAACCACAAGTATTTTAAAATAGAAGGAGAGATACAGGCTTGGCACCTGTGGCTCAAGCAGCTAAGGCACCAGCCACAGACACCTGAGCTGGCAAGTTCTAATTCAGCCTGGCCCGCCAAACAACAATGAGGGCAGCTACCAAAAAATAGCCAGGCATTGTGGCAGGCGCCTGTAGTCCCAGCCATTTGGGAGGCAGAGACAAGAGGATCACTTGAAAACCCAAGAGTTTGAGGTTGCTGTGAGCTAAGATGCCACGGCACTCTACCAAGGGTGACCTAGTAAGTAAAACTCTGTCTCAAAAAAAAAAGGTTCAAGGGCTCGGCGCCTATAG